ATCTCTCCAAAAAAAAAAAGGCTTACTTAAGTCACTAATAATTTTCTTCAGAAACTCGAGGTTGACATCTTCTGCGATTTCAGCGCGAAACTCTTTGAAACACTGAAACTGAGAGAAGGTTCCTCCTTCCAGTTGTGCTTCAAACAATGATAGCTTTCTCCGAAATCCTTTGATGATTCTGTATAGATCACAGATAAGGTTATCCTTTCCCTGATGTTTCAAGTTCAATTCATTCATGTGGGATGTGATGTCAACCAAAAATGACAACTTTGACAGCCAGGTAGGACCTGACAGAAGTGGATCAGCTCTATCCTTTTCGGTGGGAAAAATATCTATTTCTCTTCGGAGCTTATAAAAACGAAACAGGACTTTACCGCAGCTGAGCCACCTCACTGCTGTGTGATAAGGCAACTCAAAGAATTCAGAATCTATTTCTTCAAGAAAAGCCTGGAACTGGTGATTAAGTGCATGACCCCGAAGGAAGTTCACCGCAGAAACGACTGGATGCAGTATGCAAGAAATATCTAAGTCTTTCCCACAGAGTGCTTGCTGATGTATAATGCAGTGTATAAACAGAGCAACCGGAAGTTGAAAATCTTCCAACTTAGTTCGTATCTGCCCCCCCCACCCCCCACAGACCCTTCTTCGTAATTGCTTTTCTTGGAAACTTCATTGCTGGTACTTAAACAAAAAGCGTTCTCATATCCAAAGTCGCAAAAAGTCGCCTGTTCGGCTTTAATCCGTGTATTGATCCAGTGTTCCAGATTTAACTATAAATATATAAACACATATGTACAACACACAAATATATGTAGAAGCACACACAATACACGCACACGTCTTCTCTATCACAAAGTTATGTTTTTCGAATATGAATACTCAAATTCACACCTCAGACACGACACGGAGTCACCTAACACTCCTCCTGTGCCACCTCATGAGTCTAACATTACCCGGGAAGGAGGGGGCGCTTTCTGCAGAGGACATACAGTTCCTTATATGCAGAGAGATATAGAGTTCTGCATGCAGTCTGATGTCTTTTTCTCTTGTTGGCTTTGAGGCTGAGTTTCACGATATAATGCTTCAGGCAGTTGATACAAGTAGTGTGACGAGTGTGCGCGTGGTTACACCTAAAAAAACTCAAGCCCTAGGATTAAGATCTAAAATGTATTCAAAAGAAAATTTTGCAAATGAAGATAAACCCGCAGTCAACATGTAAGATCATCTTCATAATTTTTGCTGTCAAGAAAAAGTGAATAAGAGAAAATAACAGGAAGCAAATATACGGATCAGGTATAGAGGGCACATTGACACAGGTGGAGAGAGTTACAAGATTAAAATTCCTAGGGGCGATATAGTGGAGTATAAAGACTGAAACAAGTGAGGTAGAATTCATACCAATGCTTAGATGGGCAAAGAACAAGATCTTTCACTGGGATAAAGTTAAAGTGGAGAGGATATGTGTGTGTTTTGGAACAAAGGTTTCTTTAGATGTGCCATCAAAAGTTTTAACCAGTTTGGTTACAGTACTGGTCTTAAATCCCTTTGTTATAGGCCTAATTTTCCTGCCTTGGAAAAAAATCTTTGAATAAAGGAGATAAACAAAAATGTGATTTCAGTTTCAATTAGGAAAAGAAAATATATTCTACCTCACATTGTTTTCATAGTCCTTCATGTCTAACAACAAAACATTATTACAATATGAATAACAGATTTTAAACTTTCCCATTTTATGCTTCACCAATCATTTTACCAACTTGGAACATATCTTATTATATTTCAACTGAATGTTTTCTTTTCTTCTTAAAAACAAATAATATGATTTCTTCTCCTGTCCTACTATTACTTTTCTATTTTTAATAATACAACAAATTTAGGAAACAATCACTGCGAAATAAAAGTTTTTATACTTACCTACATATGTATCAAGTTTTCCTTCACCCACACCTAGGGAGAATATTAATAAGCAAAAATATTTTTAAATCAGTAGATCAAAAATAAAATTTTCCTATTTTTCTTAAATAATAGAAAAAAAAAGGTTTAACCTTATTTCCCCGGGGATTCTTTACTGTTCATGACACAAGGTTTTAGTCTCAGATTCAAAATTTTTATTAAACTTCTTTTTGTTTATGTTATGCCAATTAGAATAACAAAATTTTTGCTAATAATCAATATTTTAATAGTATACATATTTTAAGTTCTGAATTCTACAAGGCAATATTTAAAAAAATCCGGAATTTCTACTAGTGTGACCCACAAGACACATTTTCTCTTAGCATGTCATCATTTCTATTTTACCCACCACCTCTCGAAAAAGTACAAAATTAAACGTAAATTACTCTCTATAAAATCACTACTACTCAGACAAACCATAATTTTTATAGTCTTCAATTTTGTTTGGTTACAGAGCCATCAAATATAAAATCAGACCCCTCCTACCTGTCATATCCTCTCTTTCAGGATTTGTTAATAGTTCTCTCTTATGTTTAATTATATATTACCTATAACCAATAGAAAGACAAGATTTTCATCTATCAAATGACGTATTGTATAACATTGTGTTCTGAACAAATATCATCAATTTCACTCACAGTACAAGATTCGTTCCCATGGGAAAGTTAACAACTAGCTTGGATGAATCTGTATTGGCTCTTGTTGCATAGTTAGAAAGCCAGAAAAATTTTGAAAGGTAAGGCAATTTGTCTACTTTTTGCATGTTATTAGTCTATATTCTTTGGTGCATTATTTAATTAGATAAAAATTATTAAGTGCATTACTATGATTACTATCAAAAATTAGGCTTAACTATCCTCGACAATCAAGAGCAAGAAAAAAAGAAGATTTGAGTAAGTACTTTATTTCTTGTTTTTCATATTAATTCTTTATTTATTATTAGATTAGGTAAAATAAGTAATAACAATAGTATAATTAAAATGTTTCATTAGGCACACACATGAGTAGCTCGTGGGTAATGTAATTCTGTTTGTTTTTAATTATGCACAAAGCTACACAAGGGCTATCTGTGCTCTGCCCACCACGGGTATCGAAACCCGGTTTCTAGCATTGTAAGTCCGCAGACATACTGCTGTGCCACTGGGGGGCTAATGTAATTCTAAAGGGTAACGTGACCTGCATGTTCTCTGAGTGATTTACAACTTATAATGTGTGGAGAGTAGTAAGACATGGTTTAAAGGGCAATAAAACAATAAAATTTAATTATAAATAGATGTATACTGTTACGAACTTAGAGCTACTTCGGATAAACGAATGTAATTTGATGTTACAATTTGAAGTCATTCTAGAAAGAAAAAAAGAAGAATTTAAGTTTATTTTGATGTTTTTTTGGTGGTAAAGAGGTGACTCAAATTGACCGATCCTGTTTTGAGATAGGTTAGAGAAAATAACAGATAAACTGTAAAGCTTTACTGAAAAAAGTTTGAAATGCAT